TTCGAGCCATACTGGAATGACTTCAGTAACTTCCAAAACTCAGAGAGTTTTGTAAGTTATCGGAGTTATTGGAGTTTTGTAAGTTATCTCAATGTTTGAAGATGCCTCTCGGAGAGAGACATCCTCAAACGTTAAGAAAAAAGTAGCGTTGTCATTGAACGTCGGCGGCGAGTAAAATTCAATTGTATAGATGCATAAATGCCAATTTTGAGTATAAAATTTTCATTCCCATTACGCTACGTTAAATAAATTTCGGTTTATATCTTCTGAATGGCTTCACTATTTAATGGCTGATGCATTTCAGGGCCAGGATAATACTCATTAAATCTTGCTTCAGTACGGGCAAATTTGTCATTACAGTAAAATAGTTAAAAAAAAAAAAAACTTGAAATCGTTGGAATCTTTTCCAGAGCTCGAGAATGTCTGTGAATTTTCCATAGCTCGAGAATGGCTCATCTAATCGTCTGTGAATTTTCGTCACTAGTGTGGTGTCCTGATCTGTGTTGTTACTGGGTAGCACAAGTCCCAATTTACTAGTTATATTGAATAAATAGTGATACTCACTTATATTGATTAACTAAAACAATGATTCTCTGAGGAATTAGACATGTGCAATACCTCGTTATCTTTACTTGTAGACGTTTCGCCATCCAGTGGCTTTATCAATACAAATTCAAGGACATAATGGGGAGACTGTAGAACTATATACTAAAGACAAAGTACAATCATGAAGAGCAAAGGTCTCAAAGTCCAAGAACCGAAACGTTCCCTAATAAATATGTTCGTGTTTTTCTCACATCTCTTTTTAAACCAATATTCTTTATGCTGTTATTCCTAAAACCCTTCCCTCCACAGATACTCCTTTAATTCTCCCACTTTACAATCTTCTCTACACAGCCACTGCTGCAGCTCCTCCCCACCGCAGTCTTTCAGTTTCTCCCCACCATCTTTTTCTTCACAGCCTCTCCTCCAAATTATACAAAGTACCATGGTAAGAATACTCGGTGTTCTTTGGATGTGGAACTAAGATTTAGGTGAAACTCCACAGGCCTCAAAAAACTGCAAACATAACTCCTCTTTACAAAAGAAGGATCAGAGCGATGAAAAAAAAAAGAATAATTACATAACAGTAACATTGACATCACACATCATAAAACTTTGAGACAGCACTGCGAAGCCAACTTACGGTTTTTATGGAACAACATGACACATTCAGCCCAAGTCAACATGGATTTAGAGCACGAAGATCATGCCTACCATGACTGTTGGATCATTAACGACAATTATTGAAGCTCTGAAAGAATACAAGAACGCAGATGTGGTCAACACGAACTTTGTGAAGGTATTTGACATATGTGACCATGGAGTGACAGCCCATAAAACAAGGTTAACATACAGAGCAGGAAAATTATGGAAATCGATATTCAAATTTCTGGCAAACAGAACACATAGAGCAGTAGAAGAGATACCAGTGTCAGCAAAACACAAGGGTCAGTACTTCGAGGCACAGTGTTGGCACCATTACTGCTTCTCATCCACATACTGTGGATAACAACACTAGTCATAATATATAATACTTTGCTGACGATACTAAAATACATATGACGATTGATTTCAGTAGAAGAAACAGAAAAATAACAGATATAAACAAAATCTTCCAGTAAGCGAATGAAAAATAACTTGATTTTCATTAGTGACAAATCTCGTTTTCTCAGATATGGAAAAGATAAAGAACTCAAAAACGAACACACAACATAGGCAGTTTTCATTTACCAGTGTGTACTAAGGTTTCATACCCACCTTGCATACTGTATTGATAAGTTTTATGAAAAAGTCATTTTATTATCGGCGGAAATATTGAACAACACTTTAATATATCTGTCCGTAGTCGTTTGTCAGACTTACCCAGGGAGCAGTTACCATCCCAGAGTTCATATTGTTACTTTAGAAAACCGACAAGCTGAAGAATGAGACACTTGTGCAGCATTTGTGAATCTTTATTGAGGGAACGTTGCACCAGCCAGTGATTTGGTCAGTTTAATACATGTTTCCGGGTTCTTCACTGTACTAAAGTGAAGAAGTCGGTGGCTGATGCAACGTTCCTTCAGTGTCTCATTCTTTAACATAAGTTGTATGGTTTCTCTGCTCTAATATTTGACATTTTATGCCTTAAGTTATTTAAAAAATGCAAGCAAAGTACTTCCCCTCCATCCTGCCCTCCATGACCACTCCTCCAGCACCTTTCCATCCTGCCCTCCATGATCACTCCTCCAGCACCTTTCCATCCTGCCCTCCATGACCACTCCTCCAGTACCTCCTCTCCATCCTGCCCTCTACGACTACTCCTCCAGCACCTCCTCTCCATCCTGCCCTCTATGACTACTCCTCCAGCACCTCCCTTCCATCCTGCCCTCCATGACCACTCCTCCAGCACCTCCCCTCCATCCTGCGCTCCATTCCATCCTGCGCTCTATGGCCACTCCTCCAGCATCTTCCCTCCTTCCTGCCCTCCATGACCACTCCTCCAGTACCTCCTCACCATCCTGCCCTCCATGACCACTCTTCAAGCACCTCCCTTCCATCTTGTCCTCCATGACCACTCCTCCAGCACCTTTCTTTTATCCTGCCTTCTATGACCACTCCTCCAGCACCTCCCATCCTGCCCTCCATCACCACTCTTCTAGCACCTCCCCTCCATGACCACTCCTCCGGCACCTCCACTCCACCCCGCCCTCCATGACCACTTCTCCAGCACCTCTCCATCCTGCCCTCCATGACCACTCTTCTAGCACCTCCCCTCTATCCTGCCCTCCACTAGCACTCCTCCAGCACTTCCCCTCCACGACCACTTCTCCAACACTTTCCCTCCATCCAGCCCTTCAGGATCACTCCACCAGCACCTCCCCTCCATCCTACCCTCCACGATCACTCTTCTAGCACCTCCCCTCCATCCTGCTCTCCACTACCACTCCTCCAGCACCTCTTTTCCATCCTGCCCTTCAGCACCTCTTCTCCATCCTGCCCTCCACGATCACTCCTCCAGCCTCCCGTTGATCCCTCCCCACCCATCCTCCTCCACTCCCAACCATTGTTACCCTGTCATACTCAGCTTGGGGAATCTGCTACAAGGTGTAGTTATGTGAGCGAGCTTCTGTATGCGCGTGTGGGTCGTGCTACCTGTGTTGAGTGCGTCGCCATGTCCTGCGTCAGGAGCGGCGGGTGGGTGCGACAGGTAGCATTTAGCATGGGTGTGTGGTGGGATAACATGGGGTGGACATGCAGCGCCGTCATACCTGCTCCTCGCTGACACGTGTACCACCGTGCCTCACCCATATTTGCATAGTGTTCCTAGGTAGGTGGTGCAGGTGTGGTGCGCCTCTCACCCTCCGTCCTGGGTTGAGGAAGGTGTTATGGTGATGCTGTTATAGTGATGCTCTGATGGTGATGCTGTGGGTGAAAGTAAACGTGCAAATGGTGGCGATTCAGATACCGGTGCTTCTGCTACTTCTGCTGCTGCTGATAGTGCTTCTGCTGAGTTAGTTCTACTCTTCCTGCTCCTACTGCAGCTGTTCTTTCTACTTCGACTTCAGCTATTTATTTTTTCTGCTGCAAGTGTAGCTGTTGCTTTTGCGAGTACAACTGTTCTAACTGCTGTTGTTGCAGCTGCTCATTCTGCTGCTACTGCAGCTGCTCATGGTGTTGCTGCTGTAGCTGCTTGTACTGCTGCTGTTCTAGTTGCTTGTACTGCTGTTGCTCTTTCTGCTTGTACTGCCGCTGTTGTAGCTGCCTGTACTGCTGTTGTAGCTGCTTGTACTGCTGTTGTTGTAACTGCTTGTACTGCTGCTGTTGTAGCTGCTGCTGCTGTTACGGAAATACTCAATGAACTGACAAAGAACAATGCAAAATTTCCTGTGTGTGTGTGTGTGTGTGTGTGTGTGTGTGTGTGTGTGTGTGTGTGTGTACTCACCCACCTAATTGTACTCGCCTAATTGTGGTTGCAGGGGTCGAGACTCAGCTCCTGGCCCCGCCTCTTCACTGAGTGCTACTAGGTCCTCTATCTCCCTGCTCCATGAGCTTTATCATACCTCATCTTAAAGCTATGTATGGTTCTTGCCTCCACTACCTCACTTGCTAGGCTATTCCACTTCCTGACCACTCTATGACTGAAGAAGTACTTCCTAATATCCCTTTGACTTATCTGGGTCTTCAACTTCCAGTTGTGACCCCTTGTTTTTGTGTCCCCTCTGTGGAACATCCTGTCTCCGTCCACCTTGTCTATCCCATACAGTATTTTGTATGTTGTTATCATGTCTCCCCTAACCCTGTCCTCCAGTGTCGTCAGACCAATTTCCCTTTACCTTTCTTCGTTGGACATTACCCTTAGCTCTGGAACTAGCCTTGTCGCAAACCTTTGCACTTTCTCTAATTTCTTCACGTGTGGGTTTCAAAACAGGTGCTACATACTCCAATATGGGCCTGACGTACACAGTTTACGGTGTCTTGAACTATTCCTTACTAAGGTATCGGAACGCTATTCTCAGATTTGCCAGGTGCCCATATGCTGCAGCAGTTATCTGGTTGGTGTGTGCTTCCGGAGACATGCTTGGTGTTATACTCACCCCAAGATCTTTCCCCTTGAGCGAGGTTTGCAGTCTTTGGCCACCTAGCCTATACTCCGTCTGCGGTCTTCTTTGCCCTTCCTCGATCTTCATGACTTTGCATTTGGCGGGGTTAAATTCGAGAAGCCAGTCGCTGGACCAGGTGTCCAGCCTGTACAGGTCTCTTTGAAGTCCTACCTGATTCTCATCCGATGTGTGTGTGTGTGTGTGTGTGTGTGTGTGTGTGTGTGTGTGTGTGTGTGTGTGTGTGTGTTATGTGGGTGTTGTGTGTTTTCTGTGTGTGTGTTGTAGTGTTATAGTGTATGCTGTTGTATGTATTGTGTGTTGTGTGTATAGCCAAGTTTCCTTTTGGTCTTATTTCTGTGTTTGTTCTCCTTGCAGCAGTACGGGTCCTCTGAGGGAGCCTACGACCCCGGCTGTGACCCCTCGCCCACCATGCCTCAGCTCCACGACCACGCCCACGCCCACGACCACGCCGGCGCCCACGAGCAAGCACCGCTGACGCCCTCGTCCTCGTCCTCGTCGTCCAACTCATCAGCTTCCTCGGGAGGACCTGGCTCGTTCGTTAGTCCGTGTAGCGAACGAGCCAACAACTACGTTTCACCGGGTTCTGACGCCGGCTCCACTGGTAAGCCACTCTGGTCACTGGTAAGCCACTCTGGTTACTGGTGAGCCACTCTGGTCACGGTACGCAAGTCTGGCCATTGGTAAGCCGCTACAGCCACTAGTAAGCTAACAAGAAGACAGGTAGGGTGGTTCCCCTAAAAAAAAAAAACATTCACCATCACTCTTACAATACCTGTCTTGCCAGAAAGGCGCAGGCTTCAAGTGATACTTCAATGTGTAATATCTACATCCCTCCTTCGAGTGCAGAAACTGCACCTCCCACCTCCAGGACTCAAGTCCGGCTAATCGGTTTCCTTGAATATCATCATAAATGTTTCCTTCCACTCACTCCAACATCATGCCAAACCATGAAAATCATTCGTCTCCTACCATGAACACAGGTAAAGAATGGCCTGTGAGACCTGGTCATAATGGGAATTGGTGCAAACAAAACTCAACAATAGACTATAATGTACATTTGCCTTCACCAGATATATACAGGTATGTACTATGTACAGATAGAACAGTAAGTGTACACCACGGTGATAGATGGCAAAGCAGAAGCCAGAGAGCGTGCCCTGTGCTCAACCAGCAGCTAGGCAAGTCTGCCAGTGCTTACCGCAAATGAACCACGTTGCTTCAGCTTTGGTGGGCTTGCCTGTGATTGGCCAATGAACCAAGGTACTGATTTATCAATGGGTACCCCATTAATCGTTAAACCCTTAGCACCCAGTTTGCTGGTTGCGAGGCAGCCCATAAGGGAGTGTGACACACGCCGAATAAATTGTAACATGCTCTTCTTATTCTGTTCCATCCTCTCAAAATACCCAAACCACCTCAACAGCCCTTCCACCGCCCTCTGAATCATATCTTTGGTAATCTCACTACGTCGTCTAATTTCTACACCACAAATTCTGTGCATGATATTCACACTACACATCAGTCTCAGCCAAGATTTCTTCACTGCCTTCAACCTCACATTTGCCTCAACACACCACCTACCTTTTTTACCGTCTATTTTGTGGTTCACCTTGCCCATTTGTTATCAAATCCATAGCCAAATATCTGAATACAATCACTTCCTCCATACTCGGTATTTTTAATAGGCTTATTTTCCTCTATAATTTTTTCACTCTCTCTTGTCAGTGTGTTATGTTTTGACATATCTGCAACCGGAAGGATGCGTGAATATGTTGCGGTTCGAAGTTCATTTAAACTCTGATGTGGGAGACGGCCGTTGTGACAAAAGACAATCAGCAAGCAAGTAACTTGTGCATCTGGGACGGACTAAGTGTATCAGCTTTCATCAGCTGGACGTAATCCGTAAATATTTTTAGGCTGAAATTTTCTCCTGAACTTTGAATCACATGGCTTCTGGACAACACCTGAGAGAGGCTAGACACCTTGAGTGAATAAATATACTCAACACATTACTATTATAACAGTTATAAATGTAGGTTAAAGAAAGATATAATAGGCTGTTTTAAAGATATTGTTGAACTTAATGTATTATAGTATCCACTGACATGAATCGAGCGGACGAGGCTTTAATAAAGACATTGAAACATGTACTCAGGTAAACGGGTACAGTTTTAATGAAAACAGTTGTATGTTTCGAGAACAACAGACGGAGGATCGAGCTCGTCAACAGTCCTTGCAATAAATGACGCGGAAAAAAGGATAACGTATCCACAAAGACTTCTCCGATTTTTAAAGTTTATTACAACAAAATGGTGAAAGATACAATAACATTGTTTTCTGCGTGCAATAGCGTATTATCGTAACAAGAAGTTCCCTCACAGATGGATTAGGTGTGAGCCCTATTAAATGCCTCCCCCCATCCCCAGCACAAGCTCCTCTGATATGTTAGCTTCTTGTGGTGGTTTCTGAAGAATGTTTTCCAGATACCAGCAGTTGACCTTAAGCACTCCATGATAGAATAAATGGAATCAGAAAAGTCAAACCGGGTATGCTGGTCAATACGTACAATGTAATAAAGTTGGTAGAGTTACCGACAATAAGTAAAGTAAAAGGACACAAGTGCAGCTAATGTGACATTTTATTGTGGCAACGTTTCGCTCTCCAGGAGCGAAACATAATGGACATTTCATGCATGTACTGTTTGTAACGGCTTGATAAAACTCCTGGAGAGCGAAACGTTGCCACAATATAATGTCACATTAGTTGCACTTGTGTCCTTTTACTTTAAATACGTACAATGATTTGAATTATCGATTAAACGTGTTACGGGTCACTAGAGGTGCACATGTTGTATAGTTCTAGACAACCGTGAAGTTATAAAAGACTCAATTACTATAGCTATCGCATGCAAAAATACTGCCTTTAAATGTCTCTTATCATTATGTTAAAAAAAATTGAAATCGGAAAAGGAATTTGTGGATATTTAGGAGTCATGTAGCCAAGTATCCCGGATCAACCCCGCCACTGGAGAAGTTCACTGGTGAAGTTGTCTGTGAATAGGGCGACATTAGCAAGTTTTTCAAGCTGAATTTTTTTTAAATATTGCATTAAAAACATATCCATCCTGTGAATGGTAGGGACTAGTTTATTGTGCATTCCATTTTCATTCCGTGAAACTAAGCCTAAAGGGAATGACAGGTGTACATATGAGTGCAGTGGAACCTCGGTACTCGAATTTAATTCGTTCCAGAAGGCTGTTCCAATTCCAGTCTGTGAGTACCGAACGAATTTTTCCCATAAGGAATAATGTGAATTAGAGTAATCCGTTTCAGACCCCAAAAATACACTGAGATTTTGCGGTGCATTTTCGTATGGTGTTTATAATTGTATTCTCGTTTCCTAGGTCTCATTTGATAGAATGAAATATATATAACAGAAATAGAGATGAGTCTGAATGATTTACAGGTAAAAAGTACCTTAAAATTGAGCTCAAAGTAGCAGAAATGTTCGATTTTTGCTGATGTTCAAGAGTAAACAAATCATGTCACGCCTTCAATACACGTCAACTAGTGGGTCTAATATGTTTTCACAAATGCGCTGATATTATTTATACCATTTTTTCAATGTTGCAGTAGTCTGAATAATAGTAAATCTTCTATTTTTTTCGTGAATAAAAATTCAAAATGGAAAGCAAGTGTAATATAAGAGGGACCCGAAGTGGGAGGAGCTATAGGAGAGGGAGGGGCCAGTAGGAGGAGCATTCAGTATCTGGTGAATTGTCTTGATAGCCGGATAAAGGTTATCACATTTATTCCAACTTGATATCAGAAACAAGATAGATAACCTAGAAGCACAATAAAGACGTCGAAATTAATAACAAAAGGCATATTATATGGAGAGGCAGAGGTCGTGTTTACATCAGGCAATCAAACACTAACCAATTTTCTCTTTGGTTGTCTGTTATCACTAATCTTCTTTGGCCCCCATGGTGGCTTTATACAAATATATAAAAACACCCAAAAATGCGAAGAAACGCGAAATAGTTTACAATGAAGCTCAGCACAGTTTTGGACTGAGCAACAGCTGTCGGGAGACTGACACACATGTTCTGGTAGGTCATGTTTGGTCGAGTGCCGAGCAAACGGTCGACTACTGAGCAATTTTTTTTACCGGTTCGAGTACCGAAATGTTCGAGTATGGAGCCGTTCGAGTACCGAGGTTTCACTATATGTCTCAAGCAAATTTTGGATAATTGCTTAAAATTTATACTAATACATTTCTTTTCTTTTGTTTCTTCTTTTTTCGGGAGATGGCTGATGTGTTAAAATTAAAGCTCACTGTGGGCTTATCTAATCTCAACATCCATGTTTGGCTGGGTGCACCCTCAGTCCCAGGAAATTCACTCTGCTCTGACAGATTATTTCTTATTGTATGGTGACACCTCTAGTATTTATCACGCTAAGTGTCCAATGTTTACACTTGAACCATACAACACGGTGGTCTCAAATGTGTTGGCAAGTTTTGCTGCTTCTAAAACAGAGTTCCAACTGTGATCTTCCAGAGACTCCTAAACGTCGTGACTGGTACACACACTTTGAAGTTATCCAGTTAAATAAATTGTGCCAACTCGCTAAAATTCAACACACCTGTTGCTTTGAACCACTTGCTCAATGTGTTCTAATGTTGTCCTGGTTGACTTTGACTTGAACTCAAGTCTGTACTTTGCAGTCATACAATGATAAGCACTGAACACAGTAGCCTTCACTGTACTGTAAAGTCATCGTCTCACAAGCTAGACGTTGCCTTGCCATACAATGCAGTGCGAACAAGTGCCGATCAATGCTCGACTGACCACCTTTACCGCTGATATACATTTTATAAGTTCCGAGAATTTTTCTACCCTCAGAGCAATGCCATAGGCCAGGCTCGTCTAGTGCTTGCCTGGTCAACGAGACTGTCGCTGCTGGTGGCCCGTTGACTCACATACCCATTACAGCCTGGTTAATCTAGCACCTGAAGATACTTGTCCAGTTTCCTCTTGAAGACTTCTACATTTGTCTTAGCAGTGGTTCTGATATCTTCGGGTTAGACATTGAATACTGTGGCCTTAGACACTGATACAGTGTTCCCTTATTGTGCCCACGGTCCCCCTGCTTGTTAAGGGGTTTAATTTGCACTTCCTCCCATATCTCTCATTCCAGTATGTTACTATGGCAGTGTGCAGATTTAGGAGGGAGCCCTCAAGTACTTTCTAGATATATATTATCATGTATCTCTCTGCTCCGCTCCAGACTTGAGCTTTGCCACTGCAAAGCTCAAGTCTCATTTTCGAAAAAATCGTAAAATTACTCAGGCTCTGACTCAGATAATCGAGGCACCAACGATACAGATGTTTGTACATTAAAATGTTCATAAGAAATACGACGATATTGTCACTTCTCCTCCCTGTCATATTCTTCTTTAGCAAAGTTTGCTGTTCACTCATCTGCCAACGAAGCAAATATATCGTGCGCTAAACCTGGTTCACCGTCACTTGCCCTTACGACTTACGGATCGGATCGGAGACTATCACGAGCTCCCAGTACAGCACAATCACTAAACGGAGAAGCAATGTTTGATGGATAAATCTTTAGCTTATTGCAAGTTAGTTCACGACGCTGCACAGCAGATAAATTGCGGCGATATTCAGTGCTGGTAGAACGAACAATATACCAGCAGAGCTGTTGAGACTATTTTGGCAAAGCTTGTAAAGTACATGCCGTCAACAGACGCCTAACACGCACTTGTGGCATTACCAAATTAGCACTAAAAATCAGTTAAGCAAAACTGGGCGACTCTCACGATGCACAGCAACAGCAGCAGTCACTTAATATAGCAGCAACGTAATTACCTGGCTTTAACGTAGCTCACTAGTAAAGGAACGATCACACAAATAAAGGTAAAGGAAAACACCAAAAGCAGTTTTAATAGTGCCCATACATCTTCACTGCCAATATTTACAAAGTAAGCAACAATGCAGTAATGTAGGAAGATATCCTAGTATTATAATGAGAGAGTTGATGAGCCAATAACAAGGAGCAAACTCAGTGAGTTTGCTCACTGTTATTGGCTCATCAACTCAAGTAAGAGAGATCAGTATACACAATCAGCCAGCTAGTGAGAGACTGACCTCCAGCCAGAGGCTAAGTATATTGCCAGGTAGGCTGGAGGTCAACCCTGTCATTCAGAGTACAGTTGTGGACCCTGACAGCTGCATAACCATAACAGACACTTGTCATGGTGCTACTTTCTACGAGAACGAAACTAATATTAAACACTAAATGTTAAACATTCAGCAGAAATTGATAAAAAAATGAACTGATGCTGCTGCTGTTATTATTAATCCTGCTGCTGCTGTTACTTTTGATGCTGCTGCTGCTATTATTACTACCACTGCTGCTGTTACTATTATTGCTATTGCTGCTGTTACTATTACTGATGCTGCTGTTACTACTACTGCTGCTGCTATTACTGCCGCTGCTTGTTACTACTACTACTGCTGTTTCTATTACTGCTACTGCTGCTGTTACTATTACTGCTGCTGCTACTGCTGTTACTATTACTGCTGCTGCTACTGCTGTTACTATTACTGCTGCTGCTGTTACTATTACTACTGCTGCTGTTACTATTACTACTGCTGCTGCTGCTACTGCTGCTGTTACTATTACTGCTACTGCTGTTACTATTAATGATGCTGCTGTTACTATTACTGCTACTGCTGTTACTATTACTGTTGTTGTAGTTACTGTTACTGCCGCTGCTGCGGTTACTATTATTGCTACTGTTTGTATTACTGCTGCTACTGCCGTTACTATTACTGCTGCTGTCGGTACTATTACTGCTACTGCCGTTACTGTTACTGCTGCTTCTGTTACTATTACTGCTGCTGCTGTTACTGTTACTAATGCTTCTGTTACTATTACTGCTGCTGTTACTATTACTGCTGCTGTTACTATTACTGCTGCTGTTACTATTACTGCTGCTGCTACTATTACTGCTGCTGCTGCTATTACTATTACTGCTGCTGCTGTTACTATTACTGCTGCTGTTACTATTACTGCTGCTGCTATTACTGCTACTGTTACTATTACTGCTGCTGTTGCTATTACTGCTGCTGTTAATATTACTGCTGCTGCTGTTGGCGCTGGTGTTACTGATACTTATGTTGGCGTTGCTGCTGAGACTTTTGCTATTGTTCCTGCTGCTATTATTGCTGTTCCTTCTGTTAATGTTACCGGTGTTGCTGTTGCTAGTTTTTCCGGTGTTGCTGCCGATACCGTTGTTTGCGTTGCTACTGCTACTTTTGTTGATGCTGTGCTACTGCTGGTTTTCCTGCTACTACTTTAGCAGTGCTGTTGTAGGTACGTTTGCTGGAGTTGCTGCTGCTGATATTGATACTGCTACTACTACTGCTAGTGCAAGTGTTACTGCTGCTGCTGCTACTACTACTGCTAGTGCAAGTGTTACTGCTGCTGCTGCTACTACTGATGGTGCAGGTGTTATCTATTACTACTGCTGGTGCAGGTGTTACCTGCTATTACTACTGCTGGTGCAGGTGTTACCTGCCATTACTACTGCTGGTGCAGGCCTTACTGCTACCACTACTGGTGCAGATGTTACTGCTGCTGCTAATACTACTGCTGGTTCAGGTGTTACCGCTACTATTGTTGGTGTTGCTAATGCTACTGCTGCTGGTGTTACTACTGCTAATGCTGATGCTGCTGTTACTAGTGCTACTGTTGCTGATAGGTCTTCAAGGGAAGGTGGCCGGGTATACCTGGAGGGCAGGTGATCTGTCTTAGAGCAGCTGCCGAGGTGAAGACAGGTGCAGCTCTGAACAAGACTCGGCTGGTTTTATGGAATGTAGAAGCAGCCCTGAGTAAGTGGAAACATATGATCAAGAGGGATGGAAGAGGGTCGGTAAAGAGTTAATGGGAGAGTGTTGAGGATGAGAGGGACGGTGTTAAGGGGGTTTGGAAGAGATATTATGAGGAGGGTCGAGTTCACAGGATGAACATGAGGTGCACAGTAAATTAGAAACTATCGTCCACGGGATGGATATGGGGTGCACAATAAGTTAGCCACTGCCACCATCCACAAGAGGGATGTAGAGAACACTATAGGCTAGCTACTACCGTGCAGAGGAGGTAGGTGAGGTTCACAATAAACTAGCCACTACCGTCTACAGGATGGTTATAAGGTGCATAATGAACTAGCTACTTCAACGATAAACTTTAATCATTCCATTCTGTATCCGCCTTCGCGTGCTGGTGTACTCACCTATTTGTACTCACCTATTTGTGGTTGCAGGGGTCGAGTCCTAGCTCCTGGCCCCGCCTCTTCACCGGTTGCTACTAGGCCCTCTCTCTCCCCGCTCCATGAGCTTTATCAAACCTCGTCTTAAAACTGTGTATGTTCCGGTGTGGTGTGTGTGTGTGTGTGTGTGTGTGTGTGTGTGTGTGTGTGTGTGTGCGCGCACCTATTTGTATTCACTTGTGGTTGCAAGGGTCGATTCATAGCTCCTGGTCCCACCTCTTCGCTAGTTGCTAAAAGGTCTACTCTCCCTGCTCCAAGAGCATTATCGTATCTCTTCTTAAAACTATGTATGGATCCTGCCTCCACTGCTTCAATCTTCAGATTTTTCAGCTTCCTTAAAATTCTAAGGCTGAAGAAACATTTCCTAAGATATCTGTGATTTATATGAGTTTTTAACTTCCAGTTGTGTCCCCGTGTTGCTGTGTCCCATCTCTGGAACATTATAGCCCTGTCCACGTTGTCATTTCCTCTCAGTGTTTTATACGTAGTTATCATGTTCCCCCTATCTCTCTTATCCTCAATTATAGTCAGGTCGGTTTCCCTTAACCCATCCTCGTACTTCGTAGGACATACCCCTTAGCTCCGGGACTAGTCTTGTTGCAAACTTTTAAGCTGTTTCTAATTTCTTAATGTGCTTGACAAAGTGTGGGTTCCAAACTGGTGCTGCATACTCTAGTATGGGCCGGACGTACACGACCATGTTAAGTGACCATGTTAAGTGACCATGTTGGTAAGTACCATGTTGTTATGCTAAGTGACCATGTTAAGTGATCATGCTATGCTAAATGACAATGTTGCTGTGTTAGGTGAGCGTGTTAAGTGACCATATTATGTTAATTATGTTAAGTGACTATGTTAAGTGATCATGTCAAGTGACCATGTTGTTCAACACAGGTGTTGGGTCCCCGGCTACTGTACTGTCGTCGGGCGGGGTATCTAGCGTGCCCAGCGGCGGAGAGGGTAGCGAGGTGTCCTTCTGTGCCGGCTGCTCTGGCCGCATCATCGACCGCTTCTACCTGCGCGCGGTGGAGCGCAAATGGCACGCTGGGTGCCTGCGCTGCGTCGCCTGCCACGCTCCCCTGGACGACGCTGTCACCTGCTTCGCTAGGGATGGTCACATCTTCTGTCGTGATGACTACCACAGGTCAGTGATCTTAGATTAAATGGAAATTGCTAAAACAGTATGAGTACCCCTAGGATGATATATAAGACGCATTCGCAACACTTGGGTGTCTTTATTGCCCAAATATTTCGCATATACAGCAGGCTTCGTCAGTCATGTGCATATGAATATAACACTGCGAAGAACAGAATTTTTTTTTAGGTGATCTGTCCTTCAGGCAGAGAAGAAAACACATCCAGCATCATAAATTCAACTATCTTCTTAGAAGTGCTTCCACATCCTAATTTAAACGACTCCGTGAACTGCGTAATTTCCCACTCCTCCACCAGAGTGCAGGCACTGCACTTCCAACCTCTGGGAATCGATGAAGAATTAGACACATGTCCAACATTTGTAGACGTTTCGCCATCCACTGGCTTTATCAATACAATGTGATGAAAGTAGAACTATATACTAAAGATGAGGTAATCAGTCCCTCAGTGAGGAGCACCGTAGTCTACAAATAAAGATACCCAGAAGTTGCACATGTCTTTAATTCTTCATCTTGTCGGTATTATATACCATTCATGTGCAACTCTAGGACTCGAGTCAGGCTAACCGGTTTATCTGAACTCCTCTAGATAAACCCTGCTCACACTCCAACAGCACAACAAATCCTTAGAACTACCTTTGTCCACTCATTCTTGCTTTAATATGATCACATAGCCTCTTTCCCACGCTCCACCAACACTTCCTGGGACGCCCCCTATACGTAATGTTACTCTGGATTAACAACAGCGCTAAACTCGGGTGGGTCATTCAGTGCAAGGAGTGATAGACTCGATTCTCACTCTGCTAATGGTGAACTAGGCAGCGTGGCTCACCACAATTAAAAAATTGAGAAAGGAGAAGCGAGTGGTGGGAGTATTCTAGACTTGTAAGTCTTCTACCAGCACCAATATCTTCCTGCTAATACACATTGTTCACATTGGCATCTACCTGCTGATCTACCTGGTAATCTACCTGGTCATCTATACGGTAAGTTAACACAAGCATTTGTCTGGTCTTCTACAGTCTACCTGCAGTCCATAATTGCATCATCTGGTAAACGGTTTTGCTACCAAAGTGTTCTGGTACGTGAGGCGACTGTGTCCTCAGATGTGAGGCCGGCGGCGCTACGTCCTGGTAGTGATGGTAGTGGTAGTAGCAATGAAGTGAGGGTAGTAGTAGTGACAGTGGTAATGGTAGCAGTGATAATGGCGATAACAAATGGTGGTAGTAGCGATAGTAGTGGTGATACTGGTGATAATCGTAGTGACAGGGATGATCATTATTTAGCGAGAGAGGAGGGCAAGATACCACCAGCACGAGCACTCAGTACTCACTAGAGCTTACGTAGAACGAGACACAGCAGCTCCTTTGCACAGAGGAGCTCTGGTAATAAAGAAAAATAGACCAGCAACTGTACCATCACACACTATAAACACTGAGATGTGAGCAGCAAAACTGTAAATTTTGAAGAGAAACATGACCTGCATAACCCAGGTCAACATGGACTTAGAGCGGGAAGATCACCGTGCTTCTGACAGCTGCTAAACCACTGTGTCGAAATTACGGAGACCTTGGAAGACAACCCAAACAAAACATAAAAACTCAGAATTACTCTTCACTGTCTTCACGAAGACATTTGATAAATGCGATCACTGAGTGACATCTATAACGAGGAAAAAAGAAAATCAGGGAAATGTATACTATTTAATTTTCTAATGAGAGAGAGAGGGAGCACAGACATTAGAAATAAACAAAACTAAATCAGAGGTTTTATTTGTACACTGTTTCACCCACTGGTGGTTTTATTTGTACACTGTTTCACCCACTGGTGGTTTTATTTGTACACTGTTTCACCCACTGGTGGTTTTATTTGTACACTGTTTCACCCACTGGTGGTTTTATTTGTGCACTGTTTCACCCACTGGTGGTTTTATTTGTGCACTGTTTCACCCACTGGTGGTTTTATTTGTACACTGTTTCACCCACTGGTAGTTTTATCTGTACACTGTTTCGCCCATTACCAAAGCGAGTTAGAAAAATGAGGAAAAATCAGAAGGCAGCTCAGTAGAAAGGTTAGACCAGACCTTGCTGCCTTCCTTCCTTCCTTCCTTCATCAACCTGTCTTCTTTCTTCCTTCACCTTACCACTTTACCAGTTTAATTTTTTTTCCTGCAGCCTGCTAACATCAACAGCCAGGTTGACGAGGCTGTTGGTGCTAGACTTACTTCAGGCCAGGTTAGTCCAGTTCTACTGCTCGGAGAGTAAAACCTTTGCGACCTGCCAGAGGTGGATAACGGTACAAGAGGTGGATAACGGTACAAGAGGTGGATAACGGTACAAGGGGTGGATAACGGTACAAGAGGTGGATAACGGTACAAGAGGTGGATAACGATACAAGGGGTGGATAACGGTACAAGAGGTGGATAACGGTACAAGAGGTGGATAACGGTACAAGGGGTGGATAACGGTACAAGAGGTGGATAACGGTACAAGGGGTGGATAACGGTACAAGGGGTGGATAACGGTACAAGGGGTGGATAACGGTACAAGAGGTGGATAACGGTACAAGGGGTGGATAACGGTACAAGAGGTGGATAACGGTACAAGGGGGGGGATAACGGTGCAAGAGGTGGATAACGGTACAAGGGTGGATAACGGTACAAGAGGTGGATAACGGTACAAGAGGTGGATAACTGTACAAGAGGTGGATAACGGTACAATGGGTGGATAACGGTACAAGAGGTGGATAATGGTACAAGGGGTGGATAACGGTACAAGAGGTGGATAACGGTACAAGAGGTGGATAACGGTACAAGGGGGGATAACGGTACAAGGGGTGGATAACGGTACAAGGGGTGGATAACGGTACAAGGGGTTGGACAACGGTACAAGAGGTGGATAACGGTACAAGAGGTGGATAACGGTACAAGGGTGGATAACGGTACAAGAGGTGGATAACGGTACAAGAGGTGGATAACGGTACAAGAGGTGGATAACGGTACAAGAGGTGGATAACGGTACAAGAGGTGGATAACGGTACAAGAGGTGGATAACGGTACAAGAGGTGGATAACGTACAAGAGGTGGATAACGGTACAAGGGTGGATAACGGTACAAGAGGTGGATAACGGTACAAGGGGTGGATAACGGTACAAGGGGTGGATAACGGTACAAGAGGTGGATAACGGTACAAGAGGTGGATAACGGTACAAGAGGTGGATAACGGTACAAGGGGTGGATAACGGTACAAGAGGTGGATAACGGTACAAGGGGTGGATAACGGTACAAGAGGTGGATAACGGTACAAGAGGTGGATAACGGTACAAGGGGTGGATAACGGTATAATGGGTGGATAACGGTACAAGGGGTGGATAACGGTATAATGGGTGGATAACGGTACAAGGGGTGGATAAGGGTTTATAATGGTGGATAACGGTATAATGGGTGGATAACGGTACAAGGGGTGGATAACGGTATAATGGGTGGATAACGGTACAAGGGGTGGATAACGGTATAATGGGTGGATAACGGCACTAGAGGGACCGAACCTTCGTTTACCTTTTCCAAGTGTGGGTTAGTTATACTGTATTAACAAGTGTGGGTTAGTTATACAGTGTTAACAAGTGTGGGTTAGTTATACAGTGTTAACAAGTGTGGGTTAGTTATACTGTATTAACAAGTGTGGGTTAGTTATACTGTGTTAACAAGTGTGGGTTAGTTATACAGTGTTAACAAGTGTGGGTTAGTTATACTGTATTAACAAGTGTGGGTTAGTTATACAGTGTTAACAAGTGTGGGTTAGTTATACAGTGTTAACAAGTGTGGGTTAGTTATACTGTATTAACAAGTGTGGGTTAGTTATACTGTATTAACAAGTGTGGGTTAGTTATACTGTGTTAACAAGTGTGGGTTAGTTATACTGTGTTAACAAGTGTGGGTTAGTTATACAGTGTTAACAAGTGTGGGTTAGTTATACAGTGTTAACAAGTGTGGGTTAGTTATACAGTGTTAACAAGTGTGGGTTAGTTATACAGTGTTAACAAGTGTGGGTTAGTTATACTGTGTTAACAAGTGTGGGTTAGTTATACAGTGTTAACAAGTGTGGGTTAGTTATACAGTGTTAACAAGTGTGGGTTAGTTATACAGTGTTAACAAGTGTGGGTTAGTTATACAGTGTTAACAAGTGTGGGTTAGTTATACTGTATTAACAAGTGTGGGTTAGTTATACTGTATTAACAAGTGTGGGTTAGTTATACTGTGTTAACAAGTGTGGGTTAGTTATACTGTGTTAACAAGTGTGGGTTAGTTATACTGTGTTAACAAGTGTGGGTTAGTTATACTGTGTTAACAAGTGTGGGTTAGTTATACTGTGTTAACAAGTGTGGGTTAGTTATACTGTGTTAACAAGTGTGGGTTAGTTATACTGTGTTAACAAGTGTGGGTTAGTTATACTGTGTTAACAAGTGTGGGTTAGTTTATACTGTGTTAACAAGTGTGGGTTAGTTATACTGTGTTAACAAGTGTGGGTTAGTTATACTGTGTTAACAAGTGTGGGTTAGTTATACTGTGTTAACAAGTGTGGGTTAGTTATAACTGTGTTAACAAGTGTGGGTTAGTTATACTGTGTTAACAAGTGTGGGTTAGTTATACTGTGTTAACAAGTGTGGGTTAGTTATACTGTGTTAACAAGTGTGGGTTAGTTATACTGTGTTAACAAGTGTGGGTTAGTTATACTGTGTTAACAAGTGTGGGTTAGTTATACTGTGTTAACAAGTGTGGGTTAGTTATACTGTGTTAACAAGTGTGGGTTAGTTATACTGTGTTAACAAGTGTGGGTTAGTTATACTGTGTTAACAAGTGTGGGTTAGTTTATACAGTGTTAACAAGTGTGGGTTAGTTATACTGTGTTAACAAGTGTGGGTTAGTTATACTGTGTTAACAAGTGTGGGTTAGTTATACTGTGTTAACAAGTGTGGGTTAGTTATACTGTGT